AAAACATGTTTTAAAAATGTTTTAAAACATTATAAAAACATTTTTAAAATGTTTTTAAAAACATTTGCACTGCAGAGCTCATGGTTGCAGTGTACATGAGATTTTGTCTCTATTTTGGCTCTGCAATATTCCAAGCTAACCCTTAATTAATACTGCAGAATTTCATTTTGCTGTTAGCTTTCTCAGCAGATTAATTGTCCACCCTACTTGCATGCCTTTGTTTGGACTCTTCACTTACTCTGACCTTTAACAATCATGATAAAGAAGCTCTTGTGTAGCAAAAAATTTCATTTTTCATTTATCCTTCACTAGCAGTGATTGATACCAATCACCAATGAACCTGCTTTTCCTTCCACTGAAATAACTGGTCGAGTTTCCTTTAAATACTGATATTACAGGAAGGAATCTTTTCAAGACAAGAGTTTTCAGCTGCGGGTTGGTTAAATAACCATATGCCTAGGTCTGTCTTTCATTTGCAAAGTGGATTTTTGTCTCTGTATACTCATAAATCGTGAGTTGAAGTCTCAAAAAATTATTGGATTTTTTTTTTTTTTAATGGAGAATCTTTGTTCTGTTTTCTTTTGAGGCTGTTGAGTGTGTTCTCTGCTGTCTTTCTGCAACTGTGAGGGAGAGAAAATTATTTTAAATGAAAGTTAAAATTCCTAATCTGAAACTTTAAAAAGAGCAACAGATACCATTGGACTTTGTGATAATAGTTGTCGGCAGTATCAGCAAAGGGGATAGGCAAAGTAAGAAAAGAGTGGTCATGTTGGACAGTGGCCCATATCCTTTTGAGAACAGCACACACCTGAAGTTTGGAAGATTTACACCATACTGTGGACGCACGCAAATGAGTAAAATATTTCTGTTGCTGAGGATTATTTATAATGACCGCAAAACTCTGCTTCTCTGCTGGTGGTGTTTGGTTTTAAAATTGCCCTTCCATTACATCTTTGAAATGTCTCCAGGAAAGACTTGCAAATTTTTTGGACTTGCAATGGTCACGTTCCTTTTCTCCTTTTTCCCTTCTCCACTTCTACCTCAAAGTAGACTTCTTATAAATTCAGTTCCTATCCCATCAACAGTGACAGCTGCTTTGTGCTCTGCTGACTCTGCAAGTCTTTGAGAAGTTCTGCTTCAGAAATTGTCTCTTCCATTCCGAGTCATGAAAGTGCTCCTACTGTGGAGCTGATGTAGTGTACATGTAATTTTATTTTTATCTTCATTGAAATGCAGCCGGGACTAGGCATGAATACACTAGAAGGTCTTGGAAATGGAAATGTCTTTCTGTGATTGGTTTAATGGGCCTTTCTGATTGAGAATTGGAGGTGTCGATCTTGCTTTGATGAGCTTTTTAAACATCCAATTCATTGTTGCTGGTGCTGTGAATTTCATCTGTACAACACCTCTTTCAACATATGGACTGATAAACTGCATCCTGCTTAACAGTAGGGTAGAGATTTTTTTTTTACATCGTGGCTGAATGTTCTTCAGGACTGATTGACTATAGAACAGCACATGCTGGCTAGTCTAGAAAAGGATCTGATGATCTTCTCTAATGATTCAAGTCAGAAAAACCCCAACTCCCCCAACTCCCAGACATTGCACTATATGCTTAGTGCTTCACCTTCAAATGTCAGTATGAAGCAATTCCACTAAGGCTTAATTTGTACACTCACTGAAATAATAAAATCAGTTCAGAACTAATTCCCTGTCTGTAATCCAATAAAATTGTTTCACTGGTAGTATATGGCTGTTACTTTTGGGGAAACTATGTTCTACTACAGGACAGATGGATGCATCTGTCACAGAAGAATGGTTACTTGTCACCCACCCTTCTGTGAATGACTGACTGGGTTGTTCTGCAGTCATGTGGGAATAATATCCCACAAATGTGAATTTATTTTACTCTCAGTGTATCTTTGAGGTAGGAGCTTCTGCTTGAAATAAAGCACCAGCATTCTCATTGAGAAGCTTTCAGACATTATTTGGATTATACAGAGACAAAGGAGCTACGATTATGAAAATACATGTTTAAATGAGACAGAGGCAAGTGATAAAATAAAAGGCAGTGTCTGGTTTAGAAGAGTAATCTCTCTTAAGGTAAAAATCCCTGAAGAAGTGAAGGAGAGAGAAATTATTCTGAAACATGTCTCTGAATTAATGAAATCGCTAAGTAGCTAAATACAGTGACACATTTTTGATGAAAGCATTCTGCCTTGGAAGGACAAGGGTGTTGTAAGCTGTTGCTTATTGTGGCATGTTTCATTGCTACCTGGGTGACTTTCCTAGAGTTTACGAGATGTTATCAGACATCATGATTTCTTTTGCATGCCTGCACCTGTTTAGTAAGAGTGGTATCATGTTAAAAAGATTATACTAGTCAACAGTAGAAGTGCAAAGCCAGGAAGATTATCTCTGTGGCTGAGGTTTGCTTGGCTTGTACATCCCTTGTACTAGCTGCAAAATAAAATACTTCTTGTGTTGGAGATTTCCTTCAAGTAGGACATCACATGTTCCCAGGGGGTAAACAACCTGTCCTGCCTGGATCCTGTTGTAAGGTCTAAAATATAAACCTTAAGTTTCTTATATGGTGGATATTAAATAGTGCTATGAATTTTCACCCTTGCTGAGCTCGACGGTGCAATGGTTGTTTCACTCATCTTGCTCCAGGTCTGTGATTCATCTCTGATGAACTTAAGCCAGTGATGTTCTATAGCCAAATCTTCTGCCAGTCCCTCATGAGGTACGCACTGAGCAACACTAGTGTCACTTCATGAAAAGTGAGCCTTGAAAATGCTGAGGGGAGTGTTAAGGGCCATCTCCATACAAAGGAAATGTGCTGCAGTAACATGCTCTTTCAGATGCCATGTGCTTTCTTGTGTCTTCCAGAGATGCTCTGTGAGCTCTCAGAGTAGGTACCCATCCCATGTTGAGCAGAAATTGATAGTAACTGTGATTACTTTTGAAGTGACACTGGTAATTTAAAAACAAAACAAAACCAACACCCCCACTCCAACTTCAAGCAAACCAACCATAAACAGTTTCTGGTTAATAGTCCATGTCTGACAGGCTTTCAAAATCCAGGGGTAAGTGACCATGCAAAGGCATTTAGAGTTTTTAAACCTAGTGCAAATGTGGTGGAAAAGTGCTTTGGACCCAGAAGATGAAGTCCTGTTGGCTGCAGTTTCTCTGCTTGTTGTGAAGCAGATAAGAAAACTCCTTGAATTTAATGAAACATTGAGCTCTTCTGTTCGGGTTGATTAGACCTGTTTCATCAGATTACAGTAATACAAATGCAGTGGCTGTTTAAAATAGTATTTGGCATCTGTAAAGCAACCGACACAAGAGTATACTGAACATACAGGCTCTTCATTAACAGATATAACTCTCAAAGTTTTGTAGAGGGCGTACACTGGTTCCTCATGAAGGTGGGCATACCCCTGCTTAACCTTTTCACCAGAGGTTAATTTGGCCCAGAGTATATACATTTTCTGTGAATCCTTTCATATCTTTGTAAGCCTAGCATTCTGTTGAGCGTTGTTCTTCTGATGCTACAGATATTAGTCTTTTTGTAAAGACAAACTTTTCCACAGAATGTAATGTAAATTGCAAGGGCATGTTCCATGGCGAAGAACAAGTTATGAAAACGTCTGTCAGAAATAATTACAGTTGATCCTGATGTTGGGCAGGAATATAGACTGGATAATTTACTGGTGTCTCCTTTAGCAGTATTTTTTATATATCTGTTACCAGGAATACAGAGTTTAACTCAAAATGGTGGGAAACGCATAAAAGCATCTGCAAGGAAAAAAGGAAAGGAAAGGTTATTAATCTTCTGTTCTTGGCTTTGCACAGTGGTTTGTGACATGGGCTTACTCTTCCATGACTGTGTAGAAAGCAGAGTATGCTTGTGGATACTGTTTTTAAAGATGTGGAGGCTCTTGAATGTACAAATGCTTCCTTGTTTTTCACTAACACCTAAGGATGTGTTAAAGGCCTCAGACAGCTGTTTGTAAATCAGATGTGGCATACAGTACAACGCTTCGTAAAAGACAAAGGGCATATGGAGGCAAATACACCGTACAGTGGTCTGAAGTGCATGTTTTGCCAAGTTGTCTGTAGATTAAGCAGCCTGTAGAATAAGTCAATGGGAGAAGTTGCAGAGCTGTTGGTTGCCATCGCCCTCTGCTCCCCTGTTCTCTAGATTATAAAACTTGCTACAGTTGTTCTGGACAGAAAGGCAAAAGAGGAAGATTGAATGTATAGTTGGCAGGCCCAAAACCAAGGCAGGCTGGTAAACACTATTGTAATTTCATGAGTGGTAGAAATTGAAGTGTGGATATTATTCTTAACAATTGGGTGACGATACGTCTTTCTAACGTACTCTTTCCTCACCGATATGCAGTTGATAAGATTTTATTGATTGCTTCAGTTAAAATTCTACTCTTGAGCATTTCAACGCTGATGTTTTGGGGGTTTTAATTTACCTTTCCTCAGAAGGTTTATTTATTTCTCCGAATAAGGAATTTTCCCTTTCCTGTAAGCCTTCACTACTGTGCAGAAAGAACACCCAGGACGTGGACTTATTCTTGTGTAATGGCACATGTAACAAATAATGTATTGCTTTTGTATTTGCCCTTTGGACCATTCTCTATATCCAAAGGTCCACAGCTACAGAAATTTTCTCTACCTGGAGCTGAACAGGATAATGCAGTCACTGACTATTGCAATGCACTGTGGTGACCTCCAGGCTTTTTTAACCCAAGAGTATACCAGTGGGTGAAAGTACTGGCCTTAGGAAGGCTGCAGGGGGTTTGAAAGAAAACAGGTAGTTTATTGAGAGAAAATGGATCACTCGTTGTCCCTTGCTCATGTTATCTGTGCTATTTTTAACTGGAGCATGGCAAAATGGAACAAGTGGTCCCAAAATGAGCCAACTGTCCCAACTCAGACCCTGACTCTTCCTTAACCCTTCATATCTTTAACTCCTTTGACAGCTGTCTTCCACTGGGACAGAGGTGAAAATTCACCAAGCTGTATTTGTTGAGCAGTGGTTGCCAGATTTGTAGCTGTCCCTAGGAAGACCTCACAACAATTACAACTGTGTCATCCGGACAAGATGTAAAACTTCACTGTCAGACTATTCAATCCCTGGTAAAGCATCTGGGGCCACGTAATTAGTGATGAACACAAGCTTAATAAAAAGGAAAATCCCTGCAAAAGAAGAGAACTACTAAGAGATGTTACATGTTTGTGAAATGTTTATATTGGACTGTGATGAGTATACTGTAAAAATGGAGACAAAGGAATAGGAGAAGAATCACTGCAGGAAAAGAAACACGTTCTAAAGCTGTTCTGTAGTTTGTTGTTTGTAGTATGTCTCCTGTGAGGGAGAACTGACTGTGACCAAAGACTTAATTTATGAAAAATGCCTGTGAGTGTTATGACAGAGCTGGTTTTTATTTGACCAGTCAATGAATGTGTAAAAAACCCACTAAATGAATATAACATTTTACATAATAGCTCTAAGCCTGGATAGCCTGTGGGTGAGGTAGGCTGTATTCTGTAGACCTGACCTATTTAGTTGTGTATCGTACAGTGAGGTTTCACCTCTAAATCTAACTCCAATATTACTTCCCTTCCATGAGCATGACTGTGCAGCTGTGGATCCTGTGCAAAGCCTTACGCACATGTTTACCTCTGTGGTCTAGAGGACATTGCACATGATGATATTTCCTTTAGGCCTGTACTTAAATTTTTGGAAAATCAAGATCTCAATACACTTGTAATACTCTTTTTAATGTAGCACAGATGTGCAGTATTATAATATAAATAGAATATAATAATAGTGTGAATGATAATATAAAAGATGAGTTAGCAGTACCCAGCACAATGTGACTGTTCATCTTCAAGTGCCCGTACATTAATATGCTAACAATGATTAATCATGATAATGTGCTAAAACACTAACAAAGACTAAAAATAGTTCTGTATAACATTCTGTGTTAAATTCATTTGCTAAGCAATGCTGAGAACAGCTGCAGAAAATCACAAAGCATTCTTGTATCTTATACAGCTGCTTTTTTTTTTCTCTCACTTGGTGAGTGGTTTTCTTGTTCTAACTTGGTTTGTTGAATGTTTTTTTTTGTTTGTTTGGTTGTTTTTTTTAATAAATTTCATGATACAATGTGACTGGGTGAACCTAGCTTCCTAGGTACTAGCCCTGCTGGAGCTGTATCTGTTGCCTGCATGTTGAGTGAATGCATGGGATATAGGAAAAAATGAGACATTTCCTTTCTTGGGTCCCCAGCATGTAATTTTAAGATGATCTGCCATTAAACAAAGCTTTGGTGATACTGGAGAGGAGTTGTTAATGCTCTTCCAGCTGTTCTGCCTGGCATCATTCCCTGATCAGCATGGGAACACTGGTGCAGAGCCTGTACCAGGAATTAATGTTGTTTGAAGCAGCATTGTTACAATAACATCCAGGTCTGTTCATACCCCTCTACATGAGGTATAGAATTAACACAACTTCCTGTGAATCTGTGTCATAAAAGAGCTGTTGGTGGCCCAAAATGCAAGACAGAGTGAACCTGTGCTTAGTAAGAAGTTCCTATTCTGTCTAGATTAGCACAAGAAAAAGCCTTTGTTCCCTTTTCACAAAAATAATCTCTCTCAGACTGTTGGCTTTGTGTGTGTGGTGGGGGGTTTGGTAGCAGGGCAGGGGGCTACAACTTCTCAAAGCTCCCCTGACTCCAAGTCGGACCCGCCTCTGGCCAAGGCCGAGCCGATTAGCGACCGTGGCTGCACCTCTGCGATAATGTATTTAAGAAGGGGAATCTGGAAGGAGGAGTGGGAGTTGTGAGGAGGAGTTGTGAGTGAGACACCTCTGCAAACGCTGAGGTCAGTGGAAGAAAGGAGGAGGACAGGGAGGTGTGCCGGAGCAGAGACCCCCCTGCAGCCCGTGGGGAGAGGACCGGCTGTGCCCCGCACCCATGGGGGTCGCCGGGGGAGCAGATGCCACCTGCAGCCTGTGGAGGACCCCACGCCCGAGCAGGGGGCTGAGCCCGGAGAAGGCCGGGACTGAGGGAAGCCCGTGCTGGGGCAGTGCGTCACTGGGAGGGCTGCAGCCAGCAGCAGGGACCCATGCTGGAGCCACTGGTGAAGAACTGCAGCCTGTGGGAAGGACTCACATAGGAGGAAGTTCATGGAGGACTGTCTCCCGTGGGAGGGACCCCACGCTGGAGCAGGGGAAGGATGAGAGGAGTCCTCCCTCTGAGGAGGAAGGAGCGGCAGAGACAAGAGCTGACAAACTGGCCACAATCCCCATCCCCTGCTGCAGGGGAGAAGGGAGAGAAAAATCAGGAGCAAAGCTGAGCCTGGGAAGAAGGGAGGGGTTGGGGAAGGTGTTTTTAAGAAGTGGTTGTATTTTTCACTGTCCTACTCTGGTTGGAAAATTAAGTGGTGGTGGTGGTGGTGATGTTTGAATTAAATTGATGTTCTTTTTCTTCCCCTAAAGAGTCAGTCTTTTGCCTGTGACCATAACAGGTGAGTCATCCCTCTCTCTCTTTGTCTTGATTTCTGAGTCTTTTGTTTTATTTTCTCCTCTCATTCAGGAGGGGGAAGGAGTGAGCGAGCAGCTGTGCGGTGCTCAGTTGTCACTTGGGTTTAAACCATGACAGAGACCATAGTCTCTGTTGGCTAGGTGTACAGGGCTTAAATTTCCAAGGGAGTCATTATTTATATGGTTTAGGTAAAGAAAGAACACCTATGTTCTCACCACACACGTTTCAGAATATTTTTAAACGTACTGAATGTGTGCACATTATGCTTTACATCTCAGGATAAAAAGCACATTTTAGCAGAGGAACATCTCCAATATGCTATGTTGGATACTGAAATTATGCCATTCACAAACATATATATTTCACATACCTAGTGTGCCAAGCCTGTTCCATTCAGTTTATAATTTTTCATTGTTTCTTCAGGTGTAAAATTACATGGTTAGAATGCAACACTGTTCCCTGAATCTTCTTTTTTTTTCAAAGATAGCAGCTTCAGGTGTAAATTACAAAGACATGTCACCTGCAGATAAAATGTTGCTGTAAATTAGAGAGCCTAAGAGATTGTCAGAAGGAGCTGAAATCAGCCAAAGTTTTTGAATAGGACTGAGGTGTAGCATAAATCTAGTATGTCGCAACTCCCAGTAATCTGCAGAAATTATTCTCTCTTGTTACTTCCAAGAATGTATTTCATTTAAATTATGTAGCGTGAGGTACTAGTCTCTATGCGAGCAATGTAAAGGCAGCTGGCACAAAGGATTACACAAAGGATTATTTTTTATGCTGCTTTTTTTTTTTTTTTTTTTAAATTATTGCAGAGATAGAGCTCTGTAAATTAGAGAAACTGGCTAGAATCATGAGAAGGAGAACAAGACATTTTCCCCATCATTCTGTTATAGTCAATACGTGGCATTTCTGCTGATTGAGTCTCAGTTTGGGAAAGTGTCTAAATCATTTTATTTCTGTTGTATTTATTACTGCACATACCTATATATTTATGGAAAATCAGTAAAGGTATAAAAATGCATGTTTTCAATTTGAACTTATTTTGTTTAAATTAGGGATTAAATGTTTTTATAACACTGTGTCTCACCAGTTGTCTACTGCAGTGAATTTGTTGGACTCATTAAACATCCTAGAGGACAAAATATCTGTAAACTCACTCTAATTAATTAATGAGCACTTCAACTACTAAAACTTGTTTTTCTAGCTCCTGATTCTAACTTTCAAAAGTTATTTTAAGTTGAGGGATGAAAGCCAAAATTTTTTCCAGTAGGAAAACAAAATAAAGCTTTCAGTCTACATGGCAATGACTGACAGTGTCTGCAAAGAGGACAGTTTGCCCTGGGATGCTGCAGGACAGGAGCTGTCGCAGTCTGTCCAGCTTACAGCAGGCACCTACAGGTAGCCTTCAGTGGGACTGCAGCGGTTCAATGTGCCATCTTTCCAGTGTGCTCTATCGTAATGCACGAAGGGTGAAAACTGCACTCGTACACCTCACATAAGGGTTTGTTTAGTAAGAACAAATGGCAGCTGGAGACAAAGTTTGGAACAAGAAAACAGCACTGATGGTTAGACATGTTTCAAGCATCTTACGGTAAACAGCGTGGCCAGTTTTTACTTGGTGTTGTAAATATCGTGAAGTATATTATATTAAAGATCTCGTGACAATGCAGTTGGGCTCTAATAAAAGTGAATTTTTCTTCAGTGTATGTGTTATCATTTTAAAAAGCTGTGGTGTACAGTTAGAACTCTATTTTTAATCAGAATTGTTAGTGACGGTCAGCTCAGACCAAAAAAAAAGCAAAAGGACCTGTTTACTATTAGCCCCAACTATAAACAGAACACAAAAACTCCAGACACCAAACAAAAACCCAAACAACACGTGGAAGTAGCAACCAGTTTGGAAAACAATGCATTCTGGAAAATTTATATTCAAACTGATGCGCTGTCTATGTTAAAAAGAAAAGTTTTTTTAAAATCCAGTATTGTAAAATACTTCTTCTGAGGTCAGGATCTGGTGTAAGATTTTCTTTTGTTTGCTTTTTTTTTAAGGCTACAGCTTGTGTATTGGTAGTTGTAGGTACTTAAATAACACAAAATCTAAGCCATACCCTGGAGAACAAAGTATTGAGAACAAAGAGGATCAGGAGGACGTATGAGATGACTGCTGAAGTGTTTGTACTGATGCAGAGAGGTAAGAGAGGGGAGGTTATTTTTATAGCTCCACTTACAAGAGCTTTAAGCCCTCATTGTGCTTCAGAAATGTCATGTTCCTTTTCCTATTCCCCACCATCATTCACAAACTTCTGCCCAACACAACTTAAAACTCAAAAGAACAAGTCCATTATTATTCATGCATCCATTTAATTTCACACCAAACTCCAGAAATATGTCCCAGGGAAAAAAAAAAAAAAAGTGAGTCAAAAAAGAAAAAAAGATGATGCAAAAAAAAATTCCTAGATGTTACAGAGAAATATATCAGTTTATTCAGCTGCTCATTTCTACACTCCAAAATGTTTGAATTCAAAAATGAAATACCAAAAAAGAAAACACTTGGCTATGTAAGTAAAATTGGATTTTGTTCCTTTG